GGCCAAGAAGAAAATCCCAGGCCTCCCTCAGGGCTCCTTTATTTGTGTTCATTATCTGTACTTCCTGCAGCTTGAGTGGGCACTGCTTACTTTCTTTTCTGCTAACTTTCTTTCGCCTGAAGAGACCCAAAGACCTCACTTTGTGTCTGCCATCCACACAGAACCCTGGTCCTCACTGTCCTCAACCTTCTGCTCTAGGGCTCCACTCATGGGCTTCGGGGAGAAAAGGCCATTGAACTTGGAATTGGGTGGCTGGGTTGTAAATTCGAGTCTCTTCATTTACCAGGAAGTGCCAGGAAGTAACAAACAAAACAAACAAACAAACAACAAACAAAAAACAAAAACAAAAACCCCACAACTCTTTGGGAGAACAGCCAGGCATCCATTCACTCCTCCCAAAAACTCTGATCCAGGTCTACACTCTGATAGCATGACAGGAGCTAGGAAACACGGATGGGACACCAGGTAACACAGCAGACCATTTCCTTGCGACTAAAGTACTTCCCAACCTGAGCCATAAAAGGTTCTCTCTCCAGCAAGTTGTGAACAGCAAATGTGAGTGTTCCGTGTTCTGCAGACAGGAGCCATCGGTTGTGAGGGAACGGAGAACTCAGATGAAAGATGGAGTCTCAGACTTTTTCTTGGGGTTGTATGTGCAGTTACGATGCCATCACTGTCTATGTTCAGGGCGCCTACCACTGTAGAACGTGTCGCTGCTGCTGCTCATTTGTGATCTCAGCCACAGCTCCCATTAGAAGTCAATGCAGGAACACAGTGAAGTTGAAGCGCTTTCCAACAGCAGTTGTTTGGATGATTTGAACATGGGATCCTCTGGGGTTTTTGCAAAATGGAGCTTTGAACGGTAACTTTTGATCGACTGGATGGTCTTTCACATTTGAGAAGCCTACTGGATCTCTCCCCTAACAATGGAGAGCATTGTACACTGGTAGAGCCAAGGGGTCAGGAGTTAAAAATCAGTGCAATGTGAATACAAACCGTAACACAGAGAAAGGAAAATTTCCATCCCTGCAAGCTCCTTGAGCCACTGGCTGGAGTTAGAGATACTGCTGTTCGCTCATCAGAAATGTATTAAGACCATATGCAAAAATAAATAAATATGCTGGTCCAGGCAAGATATGAAAACAAGAAGCAAAGGGTAAGTCAGCGGGGTGCTTCGTGGACTGCTAGGCTTCCACCCATACTAAAGAACACTCAGAACCCAGGAGGCTCAGGTCCTGGTCACCATCTCATTTGCTCATTTATTCAACAAATATTTATTGAGCACATGCTGTGTGCTGGGAATTCAGAAGGAAGCCGGGCTGGCATGATCCCTGCCTCCCAGTGTGCTGGGGCGGGTACCAACACTAACAGGATCAGCTGGAAGCTCATCTAACTCAATACAGTTGTGGAGATGTCGGCTCTGCAAGAGAGGTAGCTGATGCGAAGGGAGGCTGCTACCAACAGAGCTGGTTTCCCAAAGTGAGACAGAAGGCATGTTCTCCACGTCCCAGCTCCTTCTCCATCTCTTCTGCTCCCCTTGTCCATCCTTAGAGAACTTTTCTGATGAATCCTGGCCCACTTGGATAGTCCAAGTTAATCTTTCCATCTCAAGATCTTTAATTTAATCATAGCTACAAAAGTCCCTTTTGATGTGTAAAGGCAGCAGCGTCACAGGTTTCAGAGACGGCTACAAGGACCTCTCCAAGGGAGTCGCTCTCTAGCTCACAGTCCCAGGACACTTGTATTCCAATCCAAAGAAGAATCAAAGAGAAAGCAACATTTGAAAAGCCATTTTGGGGGAGACTTCAAGTAACTGGAGATCATATCTTTCCTATAGACAGGCTGAGTTAAAGAAAGCGAGTGGGAGGCTAGCTGGCCAGCAAGCAGGAGGGAGGCAGAGCCCAGAACTTAACGCTGGAGTGAAATGTTTACGATCTATAAGCCTGGTCCACTCCGAGGGCAAATAAAATGCTGGATAATTCAAGGGATTTGGGAGCTGTCTTGAAAAATACATGGCTTCTGGCTCTGTGCCTGTCTGCCTACGCCTGTGACAATCCCAGGCTGCTGTTACTCTAAACACATGGTCCCTGCCTCAGGAAGGAGGCAGGATTCTTGCTCCTTTTCAGACTCCAAGAACGCAGGGTTAGATGAACTACCCACTCCCTTACACACTTCTCTAACAGACACACACATGCCCCGAACAGTCTAAATTGGTTGAATCACATTTGGTGTTTCTCTAGCAGAATTTGCCCAGTTCTGATTTTACCAGTTTGTTTTGTGGTAATATTTATTGTCTTCCCTTCTCATTTTCCTTGGCTGTAAAATATCACTAATATTCCATCTGGTAGGGGATGCTTGCTAGAAAACTCAGGGTCTTCTAGCACAACTCAAGGGACAGTAGAGATTTGACCACATACCTCTTGTTGCTCAGTGGGCTGAGTAGACAGTCACTCATGCCAGTGACTCCCAGGAGCTGACCCCAAGCCTTCCCTGGAGGCCACCTTCTCTCCTGTTCTACCACCCACAGAGAACTCAAGTCCTCTCCAGTTCCACTCAGAATACCTTCCAGAGGGGTCAGGGCTAGGTGAGGCTGGAGTAGAGGAAGAGGCTTTGGTGAATTGGCTGGGTCTCTTCCAGAAGTCCCTCAGCTCTGGACAAAGACATTGTATCAAAGGATCAGTTAGAGGCTCTGTGAGCTCAAGATTATCCAGAAGGCATTCTGGGAACAGGTCTAATTTTTTTTTTCTCTAAAGGCTACTTTTGTCCTTTTTCTCCTTTGGGTTCTCCCAGATGCTAGCATTAGTTCATTTATCGTTCGGGAGGAAGGAAAAGATCAGAACTTTAATGCAGATTGGTGATTTCTAGATGCTGGGAAAGGAGGCTGGGTTTGATTAGAACATGTGGTCCACATGTACCAAAATATGACAATGAATCCCAGTAGTCAGTACTCTTCGCGCACATTAATCACAAACAAAATTTTCTAAGTAGGAGATCAGAGCGGGCCCTCGGGTCCTCTGAGAGTTTCTGATCTGCAGAGGCTGAGCGTGAGTGAGCCTTTGCAGAAGTTGAGGCTTCTTCTCTTGACTACTCTTGCACATGGGAGGCAGGCTGTGTGGGTTTCCCATTTTCTTTGCCTATGAGAGACAGGCAACAATAGTTTCATCTCACAAGAGACTATGTAAGGACTATGGCAGTGGTTCTCAACCTTCCTAGTGGCGCGACCCTTTAATACAGTTGTGGTGACCCCCAACCATAAAATTATTTTTGTTGCTACTTCATAACTGTAATTTAGCTACTGTTATGTATTATAATTAAATATTTTTGGAGAGCTAAGTTTGCCAAAGGGGTTGCTACCCATGTGAGAACCACTGGACTACGTAAGGTAATAATCAGGAAGTACTCCAGAGATGACTGGTATGCAATGAACTTACATTAAGCATTCACTAAGAGCTGCTGCTGCTGCTGCTGCTGCTGCTGCTGCTGCTGCTGCTGTTGCTGCTGTTGCTGCTGCTGTTGCTGCTGCTGCTGCTGCTGCTGCTGGTGGTGCTGGTGGTGGTGCTGGTGGTACTGGTGGTGGTGCTGGTGGTGATGGAGGTGGTGGTGCTCCTGCTGGTGATGGTGCTGGTGCTAGTGGTGCTGGTGGTGGTGGTGATGATGATGAATTTTTCAATTCACCATCTCATTTCTCGGTTCTCATTATCACCTTCCATTCTGATCTAGTTGTGTTAAAAGAGTCAACTTATAAAATGTCTGTTTCTTTTCTTTTTCCAACTTCACACTATCGATAAAATTCTATCAGTTTATCCTGTCCTTTGCTCAGCTATCCTACAAACAACACTTTTCTCAAGGTGAGCTTTTGAAAAGCTCCTTATGTCAGGCCAGATCTCTGTCACTTACCATCTCTCAGTGACCTTCTGGCTGCTGTAGGGATGCTGTATATAGGTCATGATGCTCTAGGGAAGTCAGAGAGAGTTGAAAATTTTATAGTATCGAGTTCTTTAGAGGCCTCCACGTTTCTCCTAAATACTCCTCTCAAAATGTGAACTCATAAAACAAGTTGAGAAACTCCACCTAAAATCACATGTCATATGTTCCCTTTTGCCTCACTTGGTGGACAGTGAGGATTATCCACAGAACATTGTCGTGCCCCCAAATAACCAAGCTGATTAGAGACAGTGTCTCAGATTTCCCAAAGGCCTCTTCATAACCTTTATGCTCTTTCATGCCTTGCACCCCAAGTCCCCTTTCCCATCTCCCCCAGAGAGTCTAAATCGTCATTTACAAGGCTCATACCGGGAGGGAAGAAAAGGAGAACCAGGACGATTCTCATCGCTCAGTGCAGCCCCTGACGACAGATTTCCCAGCTTCCCCTCGTCACAGCCCGTAAACTGCTGTGTAAAATTTAAAAAGCGTGAATTTACAGAGCCCCGGGAGGAGCCAAGAGGCAAAGACTCATCCCCATCTGTGGCTCAGCATACCGATGGAGCAGGAATATGAGGTCTTGCCAATTTCTAACCAATAAAATGCCTCCTGTGCCTTTCCAGACCCTTCTCTTTCCCACAAAACAAGAAATGGAGACACAATGAAGGGGTTAGGACAACAAGAAATGACAAAGCAAAATATCCAGCATGCCTTGAGCTTTTGGGAGCACAGTTGGGTCACAGAAATCCTGTCTTCTGGGACTATTATTCGTCTATGGATCCCTTGATCATCTGCCTGCTTTAGTATCTCCTGAATTTCCATTTCAGGGAAGCTTGGGTTGATTACTAAGTGAAGATTGTTGTCCAAATGGTCCTAGCTTCCAAAATGGTCTGTAGAAATCTGGGTGCCTGGGTGAGTCCCGATGGGAAAAGACAAGTGGCATATTTAAAGGCTTATCTGAGCTGTGGTGGCCTTGAGATTCTGACAGGCTGCCTTAGCCTCTCAGAGCCTCCGCTTTCCTATCCCTAAAAGGAAGAGAATTGGTCTGGTAGGGATCTGGAGATTTCTTAGTCCGATATTTTCTAGTTCTTAAGTAAGTCAAAGGCCTGGTGGGTGGGGATGAGACTGTCAGGGCAAATGCCATTGGGAAATGGGGGCAGAAGCTGCTGAGTCCTTCCAGTGACTGGTGCTACATGGACCCTGTGCAACCTATCTCTTTATCCAGCTGTGATCAAGGTCGAGTTAACTGATTTTCATATGATTGAGGTGGAAAGGAAGGGAGGGAGGAGAGAGGGAGAGAAGGAGAGAGAGAGAACACAGGTAAGAAGAATATCATGAAGGTATTGATGACTACGGTCTAAAGAATTATAATATCCCTTGATGACTTGTTTGAGGATGAATGTGTATCTTTGAATTTATTTTTTTCTTTAACTTAAGAATGTATCTAGATACTGTTCTCAAATAAGCTGAATGGAGGCAATAACTTTGCATTACCATCAATCACTTTTTGACACGTGTATGTATGGTGACTACCTTGGTCAATCTTGTAATGCTGTAACAAAATACCCATGACTGGGTAATCTATAAAGAATAGAATTTTATGACTCCTAATGATATTCTGGTAGACTCATCGATCGGTGCCTTATTCGGCCATCATCAGAGAGACTTCCTCCTGCAGCAGATGGGAACAAATACAGAGACCCACAGCCAGACATTTCACACACACACACACACACAGAGAGAGAGAGAGAGAGAGAGAGAGAGAGAGAGAGAGAGAGAGAGAGAGAGAGAGATCTTGGAATACATATCTCTAAACAAGGTATCTCCATCAAATCTCTTTCCACAGAGCTCAGGAAATCCCACAGCAGAGGAGGCAGAAGGGAGGAGGACCCCAGGAGAAGGTCCTCTAAAACAACCAAGCAAAGTACCTATGAACTCACAGAGACTGAAGCAGTGTGTACAGGGCCTGTACAGGTCTACACCAGGTCTACTGTGTATATACTGTAGCTTTCAGATAAGTACTTTTATGGGACTCCCAAATATGTAGATGAGTTGGTCTCTGATTCTTGTGCCTTCACTTGGGGCTCTTTTATTTTTCTATTGGCTTGTCTTGTCCAACACAGATATGATAGTTTTTATTTTACCACATTATATTTTATTTTGTTATATTAAAAAGGGCTCTGCATTAAATTAGATGAAAATAATAGAAATAAAAAACAATAGATTTTTATCACTTGAAGTTTAGAGGCTGGAAACTCCAAGACCAAGAGGCCAGCAGGTTGGGTGTCTGGTGGGTCTTTCTTCTTCCATGATGCTGCCTTAATGCTGCATCCTCCCTAGGGGCCAAACCCTGTGTTCTGGAATGGCAGAAGGGCAAGCCGGAGGACCACTGTGTGAAGCTTCTTTTGTACATATGCTACCAAAAGAGGGAATGCATATGCAAGTGGCTGCAGATGTGTTTGTCACAATAACCCAGGCTAGACAACATTAGGTATGGCACTGTATTCGACCCAATGGAGAGAAAGCTTTGTCTCAGATGTTAAAGACCAGACTGAAGAAAGAGCTTAAGGCTAAGATGTTGCTGGAGGGCTTCTCCCCAGGTTCCCCAAGCCCTGCAGTCCCACAATCCATGTATAAAATAATCACTCAGATGCTTATATCACTTATAAACTGTATGGCCGTGGCAGGCTTCTTGCTAACTGTTTTTTTTTTATCTTAAATTAACCCATTTCTATAAATCTATACCTTGCCATGTGGCTGGTGGCTTACCGGCGTCTTCACATGCTGCTTGTCCTGGCAGTGGCTGCAGTGTCTCCCCCCTCAGCCTTCCGCTTCCCAGAATTCTCCTCTCTCCTTGTCCCACCTACTTCCTGCCTGGTCACTGGCCATCAGTGTTTTATTTATATAGAGCGATATCCACAGCACTAAGACTTATCCAGTCCAAAATTTAGATGTAGGATAGGGTAGCATAGGGCAGGGTAAGGCAGGATAGATCAGGGTAGGGTAGGACAGGGTAGGGTAGGGTAGGATAGGGCAGGGCAGGGTAGGGTAGGGCTGGGCAGGATAAGGCAGGATAGGGTAGGGCTGGGCAGGGTAGGGCAGGATAGGGTAGGGCTGGGCAGGGTAGGGCAGGATAGGGTAGGGCTGGGCAGGGTAGGGCAG